CTTGATAGAGAGGAACGTTGGTTTGAGAGAGGAGTAAAGGAAGCCRTCTTTGTGAAGAAAAAACGTCCACCATTAAACAGAGGTGGAGGCCTTCGTGTCCAGTTGTCCTCCTCCTACAATACTGTTATTGCAAGTATGACTCCGCCCCCTGTGAGCAAAAGGTGTGAATCAGGGCTCAAACAATACCGTGTGAATCAGGGCTCAAACAATACCCAACACAAAGAGGGAAAGAGAGACAAAAACAAGGGGATGTTGAACCCCCGCTTACATTCACTAAATACACAAAACACAACACGGGTCATGTGATGGGGCACATGAACCTCTATGAACACTAGAGCTAATCAAGCCTATTGTTAGGTAATGGTCCTCTTTTGCATGTGACTAACCTGTTTGTCCACCATGTGGAGGTGGAGCTTATAAGGCTGAGTTCACCTGAAACTCATCAGACGGGAGAAGTCTCTTGGAGGAGAGACGAAACGTTTCACTAAAGAACCACCCATCCAGAGGACCTACTTGTTTTTTTTCTTTTTGATCAACATGGACAAGTTTTAATCAAGGTTTTAAATTTTATTTATAAAAATCTTAGCAATTTTATGTTGCAGTTATAAGACACAGCTGATGACTGCAGGTGCATTTGTCCAAAAAGCTTTATTTTTTAAAGCTCAACACTCAAAATAGGCTCCTCTCTCACACCGTACTGAGGAATCGGAGTCATGTCACATTCAGAAACACAGCAAAAAAACAAAACAAAAAAACATYCCAGACATCATTTAGTGTCGTCTTGTAAATACTAATAGGGTACTATTACAAAAGAACCATTGAACCATGAAGGTATAGGCTATACTTTGGATTAAACATCCACCAGAAAAAATGTAATAACAATAGYGTGGAGTACCTTTGAACAGTTAAAAACAAAAAGAGCACAATAATCTCATGGCCTCTCGTGGATTGTTTTTATCCGATGTCACCAGACGAGTTCTGCACAAAACTGCAGCAGATAAATGTAGTCGTGACTCAGGATGGATTTTTGGAGGACACATTGCTGAAAAAACAAAAATAAAACAAATCCCGTGATTTCAAATTAAAATCTGAATTAGGTTTGTCAGAGTTCATCTGCTGTGGTTTTAATTACAAGTCATCTCATGATCTTCGTGGTGTCAGTGTAACTAATGTGCCACAACAGACACAAAAGGCTGAACTCTTCTGGATTCAGAATAAACTCATTCGAATCTGTCATCTTCAGGAGCTTCTAAAACTACAGCAGCACCAAATCCCATGAGCTGATGCACACGTGAAGTCGTCCATTTTCTCAAAAGTGAAGCAAGAGATCATTACCAGGAAATAATGTGTAATAATGTAAACATGTTTGAATGTCTCTTCTGGTCTCAACACACTACAGATGTAGGGTTTATGTTGAGGCTGTTACTGTACGCCTGCAGCAGTGTGAGTCTCTGCATCGTAACACAAAGAGTTTTAAAGCAGGACTTTTTGTCAGCAGGGCTACGGGAAGATTTAACCCARTAAAAGATGTGAATCAGTCAATAGAAAGTTGGTGGACATGAATCCATCAGTTTGACAAAAAAATGAAGAGTTGGACAAATTGAAGAATGGTGTCTCGTTACGCAGCCATCAGGCCCAGGCAGATGTGTTCGGGTTTGATCAGGAGAGCACATGTTGGTTCTGAAACACCGCCACATATTTAGCCTGTGATGGAAGCCAGACCAGACATGACCAAATCATACACAGAAAGCTTTGATGGAAGAAAYGTTGTCTCCAGATCAATCTAAAGCTGCATCACTTTTTGTTTTTMTTCACTGTAAGTTGGTTTGTGAAGAACGGTGGAGTTGAGCTGTCTTCAGGTTCACTTCAGTGATGGTGTGATTGTTTTCTGGTTATAATAATGTAAACATTTTGTTATCACACAAAGAGACAGGGTGTGTCGTGAATACTTCAGATATTTCAATAAAGAGTTTTGTAAAAAGGTTATGAACAGTATCTTACCTGCTGTAGATACCTCAGTTTGAAGTTTAATTCTGACCAGACTGATGAACGTCTGAATGAGTTGAGATCAAAGTTAATTGTTGCTTATTTAAAACAATTTTAAAATAAAAAAAAGTTCATATAAACACTTTTTAATGTTGGAAACATCGTAATTTTTTTGTAAATAATTACATAATTAAAAATAACTGCCCATGAATTTCTATAAAAATGTAAATACTGCAGTTGTTTCAGGCTGGCAGAAGTTCACTTTAGTTGTAAACTGTTAGGGCAGGGAGTCAAACTCATTTTCACTGAGGGCCACATGAGCGCTATAGTGGCCAGCTGTAATCAACTGTTTCATGTTTAACTTTGACTAAACAGTGTTTAACATGCCCTTGTTCAAACACTGAAAAGAACTACGTGTACGATTTACTAAATCTGAAATAAATAATAATACGGAAATATTATTAAAAGTAAAACTAATATAGTTTTACTCACTGATGAGTTTCTAGTGAGTAGCTGCCATTTTGAATTCTGAACTCTCACTTCTGACAGGGAATTCTCATGGATGATCAAAATGCATTAAGGCAGATGTACCATATTTATTAAAGTACAATACGTAAAATTTCATCCATAAAATAATCCATAAAGTTGGGGGGTAGTGTTATACTCCGATAAATATTTTTACTTATGTATTTTAACTGAAATATCGGCAAAATTATTGAGTCCGGAAATGAGACTGCGTTGTAAAAAGCAGTTGAAACAAGCTTACCTCTGACACTCCTCCGTTCTTCAAAGCGAGATAATAACAGATCCAGGCAGGCGACATGATGTGAAAAAAAAGGGGGGGAGGGAGTATTTCTGCAGCTCAGTAAGGATAACGAACTAATGACATTAGCGTGTGACCGAACCACTGCTGGAACAACAACAAACACATGTTCGTCTTTAATGGCTGCCGTCTACCGGTGTTCTGAAAAAGTTTGTGTCTCTGAAAAAAGTTTCCCCACCAGAGGGGGCGATCGCAAGTAGGAAGTAATCTGTTTGAAGATGGCCCAAATCTCACGTGAAGTCTCTGATTTTTTGTGTTGGCGCCTCCTGGTGGACTGTGTGTAAAATGCCAGAATTCATATGATGCTGCTACAGCTGATATATATTTGTTGTCAAAATACCTTTTAGTACATATGTTGTTAAAATAAAATGAACAGTCCAGTGATCATTTTACTGATATGTATAAAGACTGCAAAGGCTGAAAAATCTTGAAGTCTGAACAAAATTAGAGGTAGTTTGAGGATTAAATTTTTTACGTTTTTTAAGCTAAAAAAAAAAGGGTGGGTCATATTATACATGAGATCATATTATACATGAGATCATATTATACATGAATAAATGCAGTAGTTTATGGTCAGTGCTGACTTTAAAGCAGCTTATTTTCAGACATTAGTACTGTGCTATCCAACTAAATGTGTGCTAGAGTACATGTATGTATTCTAGGTTATGGATAGATAAATCCCATTAAAACAAAGAGCTTAGATATTATTATTTTTATAGGATTTATAGGAAGAAGTCCTTTTAATTCACAAATATTAAGTAACATTTGGTGTGGTAGTAGGTAAGAATCCCTATCACATATTCTGAGATTAGGCAGTGTTTTTATTTTAAACTTTGACATGCAGCAAGGCAGCGAGAGACAAATTCTGTTAAAAAAATACCTGCCTCATTAGTTGATTTGCTGTTAATTTTGACATGAGAAAAAAATCCAACCTGCAGCAGAAATTACTGGAACGTGTGGGATTTTCTTGTATTCCATGCTGTAACTCCTTTGGATGCACTCATCCAAATGAGTTACAGCATAGAATACACTGGATTTTAATCCAAAGAATACTTCAAGGGATTTATTTAGGAATATACCACAGATTGCTTTCATTTTGTTTGGGCGGTTGGCATGTAATATGCAATAGCTGCTTGAATTTTCTTTTCTTATGTTCAGCAAGAAAAAAAAACCTCCACACAGGCACAATGTTGCTCATGTTTTACAATAGTTTCAGTGTTTCTGTGTTAGTAGAGAGCACACACTTAGTGGTGGAAATGAAAACAAAGACTGTCCTTCACTAGAATGTCGAAAATAATGCAACAACACCAAATGAAATGGGAAAAAAAAGAGTTTTCAGTATCAGTAGAATGCAGTTTCCGTTTGGATCAGGGTAAAAATGGTGACTCGGTGCAGAACGGAGTCAAACAGTCATATCCTCTCTTGTAACATCCATTACATGGGTGAAGATCGGTGGACCTGGCTTGGCACAGGAGGTCTCAACATGACACATTTGATCTAGGGATACTTGAACATGTTATTACAGTTTTTTACAATTGCTGAAACACAATTTTGCAAACTAGTGTGGTTTTATCAAAATRCGAAACACAGTTCACAAAAACCACACACCCAAACYRCAAAATACCTCGTGTAGCCTTCAAAATGAAGCACCAAAACTACAACTGCCTGTCAGCCAGTGGTTGATGACATCATCAACTAAGGTTGCTCTGATTTCATTTGAAGGTTGTTGTCTTTTTTATCCATGAACTTATCTACCAGCTCTACCTCTCACTCTCACTCTTCCTCCTCCTCTCATTCTTACCCTCCCTCTTCCTCTCTCTGCAACATCTCCCATTGTTGTTGTAAGAGATCTTTTTATAGTGCTCCTGATTGGAGTGTTAACCATTAAGCATTCAGGTGTTCGGCCAGGTACAACATATTTTGGCCAGTTAGCTCATGTGATGTCAATTTGAATGGCAGTGTTTTGAAATCGCAAACATGTGACTTTATGTCAGATAGGTGTGTCTTATGCATGAGAACTGTGTTCAGTTCATTTAAAACGTGCCATTTTGAATAGCAAAATGTGTGTAAAGCAGAAAATGTGTTTTGACTTTTGGAGTCTTGAGAGGAGGTTCTACTCTTTGTGTGTCAGTTAAAATAATTGTGTTATGGATATCATTTTAGTGTGTTAGCTTTTGTAAAAAAAAAAAAACTGTAAGAGACCAGCTAACCAAATCCATAAAAATAAAAAAATACATAATTTCGGGTTTCGGATGAAAATGTAGAGAAGGCTCCAAGCAGCAAAGCAGGATAATATATGGGAGGGATATTATAATAGCAGGTTTTACCTGCTGTATTATAAGATTTTATCTTTTTTCTACTGCCTTTTACTTTATTTATGATTTTTGTTTTTTGTATAAAGAATCTGTTTTGTTTTTAAATGAAATGAATAAAGAAAAAAATTTAGAGTGAAGTGAATAAATACAAACTTTTATTTGGAAAAGGAAAAAAAACGTGAACAAACTGAGTTACGCTGAGTTTTAATCATTTAAATACACTTGTTTTGGTGATTTTTTTTTATACACAAACAATAAATTTATATTTTCACAACCACTGAGCAGCCAAGGCTGGCATTCCCTCTGCGGGCGAAATATTGAGTGGTGACGTCACAATAGACACATTAAACTCCGCCCCTTTTTGAGCTGTCCTGTATGTTGGGGTGCTGAATAGGAAACCCAGGTGGTAACAGTCTAAGAGTGGGACAAGAAACCTGCAGTCCAGATGGTCCCAGGTGTGTAAAATAACACCCCTTTTCCTGCTCAGTGTAATTTGAACTCTGTGCAGGAGCAGCTGATATTTTCTTGTGTTTATTGGATCAGTTAATCCCTGCCTGTCACACAGGGAGGTCCATAAAAGATGGATTTTCTCCTCTTTTCTTCACTCTTCGCTCACAGCAGCAACATCCTTCCCTCTTCATCCCCCTGCTCAGCACTTTAATCCACCCACAACAAACGGAGATTAAAAAAGGCTGAAGATGGGATGTAAAAGGAGGAGTCATGGTGGTCAGCAGGATGGAGAGACTGGAGGTGGAGGAGGGTTTTAATCAGTAATGTGCCACTTCTTGTTTTCCTGGAACATGACTCAGTTTTCTGCAAAGGTGAGACTGGTGGAAAAAAAAAACACTTTGAATGCAACACCTGCTGCCACTTTTACATCTCTGCCTCTCTGTTTCTGAAGGCAGTGTTCTCATTTGTTTTGTATTTGTATTTAAATCTAACCTGATCTACAGTTATTATCAACACCTGAAGCAAATCTTTAAAAAATGCCAAATTTTCTTTTAACAAAACTAAAAAAAAAAATCTGCATATCTCAGACACAAACACTTCCGCTTTTTGTTTGCAGTCTGTGATGCTTTAGTCCTTTTCTATCATTTGTTTTCAGAATACTTTATTTAGGATTTTTCAATGAGAACATTGTAAATATGAAATGACAAAACAAACTCTGCTCAGGAACAAGAACATTATCCCTTGAATAATAGAACACCTAAAACAAGATACAATTACTTTGACATAAAATCAAAAGAAAGGACAAAAATGGTGTGTGTGTCGGGTGTGTGTGTGTGTGTGTGGGGGGGGGTAATCATTAAGGATTAAACAAAAATAGGTATCAGAGACACTGTGAGAGACATGATTGTTCATAAATCTTGTTGAGACCAGCTTGAGTACAGGAAGGTTAATTAATCCAGTGTGCACGTAGGATTTGCACGTACCTTAAAAATGGTTGCCATATTTTAGAAAAGGTCTTACTTCTGTTCTGCATCTAATAGGTTTCCTGATGCATCTCAGTAATCCAGGTAAAAAAATCAAAAAGAAAAAAATTGTATAGGTCCTCTGGATGGGTTCTTCTCTAATGAAACGTTTTGTCTCTCTTCCAAGAGACTTCTTCAGTCTGTTTCAGGCAAAATTCAGGCTTTTAAGCCCTGCCTCCATGTG